CTTGACTTGTATCGCGATGGTTAGTGTGTTTGTGAGTGAAAGTGATCACGTCGATGGTATTTGGTAAATTTATTCCCATAAAACCGCTGCATACTTTTAGATTAGAGCTTTGAATCGATCCCAAAACGATATATCAGTGTTGTAGGCAATGCATTTCAAGTGGAGCCGTTTTCCTGTCATCAGATGAAAGAAACCCGAATATTTGTATAACAGCTTTAAGTGAGATCCTATTGACCCGTAGCGTTGTCTAACCCAGAAAGGACGAGTCTGCTATCTGAACTCATTTTCCTTAATGCCTTTGTGCACTGTCTCCATAATAATATAATGTCGCTGAAATCATCCCTCGCGTTTCCTAATCCCTCAGCGAAAGATATCCTGACATAAGTTATCTCAATTTTGCCTCTATACTGATCTCTGGCGCTACTGTGCCGCTTTACCGAGAACTTATGCTTCAAATCTGACCATATTTCAGTAAGTCATGGCGCCCAAGTAGTCGTCATTCACGTCTGCCGTTTATCTTGTGGTATTCTGTCAGTGCCATTCTCCGTTTACAATGCTTTCTGGGCAGACTATGGCGACGTATGGGTGACCAAGATAGCCCCATGCGACTATCTTGACCTTCACCATTGTGGAACACGGGCGAAATGTCGTCGTTTCCAGGAACGGAGGCCGGGCGACGGAAATTGCACAGCAACCGGCAGATCATGTTGCACGGATATTGCTCAGAAACAGCGGGTCATAGTTTGAGGGCTGTAAGTGATACCCTTAACCAAGCTGGAATCTATACTAAAGTTGCGTGAAAGACTTTGCTCCATTGTTTGGGTATTTATTGGTGATTTGTTATCGTGGACGCAGAATACATCCGTTTTGTTTTGTCGTGCAGGCTATACGATTGTTTTATATTGAATTGAACGGACGGTTTTGTTGCTTGTTGTCATATGTTGGTCGTTGCCGTGGTGGCCACAACAAAGGACAACGTGCACAACTCATTATCGTTTTGTCATGGAGACTTTCAGTAACTACCAAAGTATTAATCAACTGTTCACGGAGACGGTTGAAAACAATCAGAATGAATGAACACAATGTAAATTACCTGGCAAGCTGCAAAGCATAAAACGACTTACGAATGCACATACAACTCTGTGAAACTTGAAGACTCGCTAATTAGATCCTAATTACAACCGTATTTCAAGTCTGCAATGAACTCCGAATAAAACGGCAAATAAGAAATAGACAAATGCGTTACTTCTCTTCTACTTGAACGGAGATCAAGCTTAAAAATCACATCCGTTAGGCTGTTTTCTTGATATTTTACGAGCATCTGGTAACTGCCTAGCAACACCGCCTGACGACGGTCTGGTAACCGACCCACCACAATTCTGCATTGAAATTAGACTCCGCAGCTGGCACTTTTCGCTCTGTCTCATAAATAGTGCAGTCGTGTGCGGTCGAACGTAGCCGGCAATGTTCGGCCGTCAATGGGCCCATGCTTCTATTGTTTGTGTTCTAAACATTTCTTTGATCGACAGCAGCGAGATGTTATAAATGAGTTGAGATAAAATCTCCGTATATTTTATCAACTTTAAATGATCAGATGATAAAAAGTCAAGATTTCCTGAGACAGGAAGCCTAATAAGAAGTTCTTATACTTTTTGGAAAGAAGAAAACCATTTCATGAGACACAATTTAAGTCAATCAAACATCCATTATCGAATTAAATAATAAATCACTCAGCCATCAACTCCGACAATATCCCTAACAAATGGAATAAATAAAGAACGTTTGTTTTCCGTTCACTCTTTCATAGCTTCAGTTCGAAGTGAATATTGACCGTGCCAATAAGAAAACGGTCGCCCCAGCCACCACACAAAGCGTCCAGTTCTGTTCTGGGTCATGTTAGCTCAGCTTGTAGTTCAGAAGCGATGGCTTAGTGTAGACCGTGGACTAATAATACAAGCCTTTTGGCGACTTTGTGTGCAAGTTATGCAGCTTTTAGCTGTTGTTGATAATCATTTTTTTGCGACAGCTAAAACCCTGGCCGATCATTTGACGGATCAAAACATCGTGCAATTTTGAACACAGAATTTGCCGATATTCGCTGCTCTCGAACATGATAGCGCCGTGTGTATCGAAGAAGCGCATTTGATTGTGGCTTCTTCTCGGGGCTTAGGAAGGCAATTTGGTGAACAGGAGGCATCTTTTGTGCACGCTTGTTGAGATAAAGTAAGGCATAATAAACAACCCAATGTGACACAGCTGATGAAGTGCTACGCAGCATATTTTCTATTTCTGTTATGACGCTATTTTCATTTTGAATGCGCCAAGACTAAAGAAGACGGCAAAATGCATTTATTCATTGGACCTCACGATACAAAACATTTCAGCGTTTCACATTGACCACTGGCAGGCTTCAGTGATGCCCCACAATAACTGAAAGAACCCGTTGCGATCCCGATCGGTCCCTAGCGACCAGACACCGCTCCAGACCCAATCGCTATTTCAGTTCTAGAGATTGCCAAATCAACTGCAGAGGTTCGTAGTCCAATTGCCTTCACCGTTTCAAATGTAGCCTGAAACGAGGCGTGGGGTTGCACCGGCCGAAGGCCTCGCGTCAATTTCAATCGGGAGATAATTTCCCGAAGCCGCTGGCGTTGAATTACACTGACAGTTAGCGCGTCAGCTCATCGGTAGGTAAGATGCTTCGTGATTTTTCCGAACGGAGTATCGGTTGAAACGAAAGTCATGTGCGAAGTTGTGATCAGCCATGCCATTAGCTTCCGCGTGCTAAGAACGATATATCGCTCTCTTTGAAAATGACCAGATGCATTTGACTTGTTTCTAAGTATCTCCTTCCAGTCAAGTTTTGTCTGATCGATACCACTTTGTGTTTAATTCGCCTGAAGGAGTAGAGATTGAACATAGATCACCCTAATCATGTATTTTCCTTTAAAGTTTCGTTGGTATTGCATGCTATTTCATCATGCAATATGTCGCTTGAGTTATTTTCAAGACGTAAATATATTTCCTTATTTCTCCTGAGATGTCATTATAAAAACGTGATGGATGGCTGAAACATATTGCCATAAAGGAAAAATGCATAGGCTTTTGATTATAACGGAACCCTTTACAAGAGATTGGACAGTGTTGCAGAAATGACAAGATGGTTATACAGACTAATCAGTGACATAAAGAGTTTATCTAAGTGCACAACAGAAGTTCGTCATTACACTCTTGGTACTTTGAGCTATACCTACAACTTGTTTGTTACGCCTTGCAAATGCATAAATAAAGGAAATGGACTTAAATAAGACTCTGTGCCTAAACTCTGCCTAAATAAAACCCAAACTCTGTGCAGCCAAGGTCTACCTCCCTCAAAAGTCCAATTGTTTGCATTCCTTCTGCGGAATTTCCTGGGAAAATCAATAAGTTACCTACCCAGCCGTACTGAAATCCATGGCCGGCTTCTGTCGTGCATTGGTTACATTTTTCCCGACTGTAAATGTTGCACACAATGCATTCAGTGGGCACACACTGCTTCATAGCATGTGATGGGGTTGCCAGAGGCAAATGTTGCATCAGCATAACAGTGGAAGCAGGTCAGTGACATTTGTCACATGCAGGCTTTAATTTGTTCTTTGTAGATGAAATATAGCCGCAGCTGTACTGGCTTGACTCGAGTGGATTGCGACTATACTGAGCAATTAAATAGTTATGCTGACATAAATGTTGCGAGTTTATGTCAGTAGGATATTTATACTAATAGTTATGTGGCACGTGATTCATAACATGTGAATTGTGTATTGATTCTTCAGACAAAATGATGACACACCCACAATTCTTTTATTTTTTATTCAATGTGCAAGATTACGGACATGACCTAAAGCTAGCTCAATACGTGCTATATCCTAAGTGTGGTGCGTCTGAATTTATGTGTCGGAATTTATGAATTATCTTATAAGCGCTACTGTGAGCTACGCTACACTAAACAAGGCTAACCAAAACAGTTTTCCTTTTCTCCCAAGATCTGCGTCTTTTGTTGTACAGCTAATATGCATTGTAAATCGCCTCTTTCATAAATGCTAATAAGAGTGTCTCGCCATCCCGACTAAATCACGCCGACCTTCACTCTCTCTCCTTCCTCCTCTCCTCTGCCCTGACATCGTGCTTCCGGCCAGACCCCGTGTCTTTTGGCAGGAGCCCTAATCCCCAGCCCTCCCCTATCCGCCTAAGCCCCACCCTCCCCCCACGGTCGGCAAGGATGAGGCATGCCTGCCGCCCAGTCAAAACTGATGCAAGGTTGCCAAGACAGCGGCCGCCCGCGGCAGACGCCGGTCAAGGCCACGCGAGCAAAAACGCCCGAGGGTATTGGCACCGTGCCAGCTGACAGACAGCGTGTAGCTTGCAGCAGTCTGCGTGAGGTTGTGAATAAATCATGTGGCTAAAATATTGCTTTTGAATATAATATTGTTGAAGTTGTTGCTTTGCGTGGATTTAATTATTTCAATATGTCGTTTGCGAGATGAGAAAAGTTTTGTGTAAATTACATTATTTTTGCGTCGTCGTAACATAGCAAATTGCTAGGGAAAATTAAGCGTAACACACTCTTGTTTGCATTGCAATTTTTATTTTTAAGGCATTACTATATTAGTTATTTTAAATATTTGTGCTGGTTAACCGTCATTTTTGATTTTGTTTTCTAGCCCTTGATTTTCTGTTACATTATTTAAAAAAGATCTAGGTACTCCTTATTTGTCTGCGCTACACAATTCTCACTGAAAGGGCGAAATAATTATAACACGCGGCGCCATCCCAGACAAATTTTTGATGCAATAATGTAGAATATCAATGACCTAAAACAACCAACAAGGTGTGACATATGTCGTGACACACAGTCATGTGTGACACATGACTTGACAAATGTGAGAAATTCCGTGACACATGTCATGACACTTGTATCACATTACGTGTCACGCCCCGTTCTCGTTTCCGCCACCTCTTACCTTGCAGCGTGCTGTTTCAGCTCCTGCGATGCCTTGACGTCTTCCATCTCGATCTGGCGGAAGGCCTCAAAGACGTCCTTCATGTTTGGGTTCTCGTCGAACAGTCTGTGGGAAGACAAAGGCGATAGCTGTGAGAAACTGTGATAGATCGAGTGAGAACTGTAAGAACCAGTGGAAGAAGTATTGAAAGCTATCTCGAAGAGGGTCGGGGCGGCTCTGGCATCCCTGGGCTGGCCCAGAGTGGAGCGGCTGGTGTGGGAGAGGGACCTACTGAAGGTGTGGAAGGCGCTCCACATACCAGCTTATCCTCTCTCCATCCGCCGCATGTTTGTGTCCCGCTCTGAGGTGTCTAGCCGGGTCACAAGCTCTGTAGAAGCTGGCGCACTGGAGCTGCAGAAGTGTAGGCTCTCTTCCACACAGAGAACGTTTAGTAACCGCGCTGCTGCCGCGTGGAACCGGCTTCCGCCGGCCGTCAGGGAGCGGCCCACGCTGACCGCGTTTCGCCGCGCAGTGGCGGCCAGCGAAGCCTGAGATCTTGGGGTGCTGTGTTTTATTCCGGTTTTAGTGCAATTAGTTGTCTTATTTTATCTGCCAGTGCCTATTGCCTTCTTGCATTTTATTGTCTTGTACATGACGCTGGATCCTGAAAAACTATGTTATGTGGATGGATTTTAGATCAATACAAACAAACAAACGATGGCCAATGGCAGATCTAGTGAGAGAGGTGATAATTTGTGCGATTACAGTGATAACTGGTGGGCGTACTAGTGTGAGCTATTGATAGATCTAATTCTAGTGAGAGTTGTGAGAGTTAATGAAAAAGCTGTGAAAGCCAGTGAGAGAGCTGATAAAATTTGTGGAAGTCAGTTAGAAAACGTCATCATATTACAAATTATCCATCATAATGTCGCATACTCGTACATTCGCACCATCTAGGTGGCCAGTGTCTGCCCAGCATAAGCGATCCAGCGGAAATAGCTGACTTCCGGTCAGATCGGATGTAATCACGAACACGATGGAAATTGGGCCGCGTTCGGACACGAGGGAGTCTTCTTCAGGTTGTATTCCCAGGTGAGATTAGGGAGACAGATTGGAGCTTTCGGGGCTTCAGTCTCAGCGTGGCGTATTCCTGGATTGGGATTGGCTGTAGAATAGCATAGCACATGTGATAGCACATTTCATATATGCACCAGTCTAAAGAGAGTAATAAACATCAAAATCAACGTTTTGATGGCATTGTTTTAGGTATGTGAAACCTAACCTAGAGTCTGTTACTTAAAGGGACTATCCCACCTTTAACATGGGGTTTGAGTTGAGATAGCCAAGTTTGCGGCGAGGTTCAGAAACCACTATCTATCTAGGTTGCAACCCCCGCGGCCTCTTGGTGTTGAAGAAATTCGTTCCCTTCACTTGAAAATGGGCCTTGTACAAGGCCCTATCTTCAACATGGAGCGACCGTTAGTGTGACGTCACCTCGTTTAGTCATTCTGATTTAAATGGGTTTGTTCGTTGAAAAATCGCTTAAAACTTGGTCTGAACTTTGTTGTGGTGCCTACAGAGTAAAAAGAATCAGCTTTATGACAGTAATGTGGCCTGGGGAAGGAGGTAATTTTGGGCTGTGACGTCACATATTTGAAAGTTTGTGTTTGGAATATGGGAAGCCTAAGATGTTTAATGAAAAATAAATGCCAGAACCGTGTTCCTGGTCATCCAATCTATAAAGCCGGGCACAATTCAACTGGTTTTAACAACATTTTAGAAGGTGGGATAGTCCCTTTAAGGGATCTCTCTCTCTCTCTCTCTCTCTCTCTCTCTCTCTCTCTCTCTCTCTCTCTCTCTCTCTCTCTCTCTCTCTCTCTCTCTCTCCCTCTCCAACCTACATTCGCACTCGTTCGCAGCGCCAATGGCAAGAGGAACTCTGGTGCTGCGTCAAAATACCAGCTGGCTGCCTCATCAGACGCTATTGCTCAGCATTGCTCTGAGCGCTGACAAATATCTGCCCAACCGTGATTGAGGCCTGGGGCTGGGATCGGAGGGGGCGGAGGAGGGGGGGGGGGGGTAGTTCCGCGAGACGTCCCGCCGACGCGACGGCAGCGTATAAGAGGTCAACGTTCGCTGTGAGATAAAGACCCAGCCAGCCTTCCCAAATGGGGCCCATATGGGCTGAAAGTGGGGCATCTGGGCTTAAGTGGGCATGGGCTACATGTGGGCTATTATCTGGGCTAAATCTGGGTCCCATATGGGCTGAGCCCCAGCAAACATGCCCACATGGGTCCCATATGGGGTGAACATGGGCCAGATGGGCCCACGTGGGACATGGGCTACAGATGGGCTACCCACATGGGCCCCATATGGGATAAAAATGGGCCAGGTGGGCAAAACGCATGTGGGCTGGAGATGGGCATCCCATGTGGGTCCCATATGGGGTGAACATGGGCCAGATGGGCTCACGTGGGACATGGGCTACAGATGGGCAACCCATATGGGCCCCATATGGGATAAAAATGGGCCAGGTGGGCCAAACGCATGTGGGCTGGAGATGGGCATCCCATGTGGGTCCCATATGGGGTAAACATGGGCCAGATGGACCCAGTGGGACATGGGCTACAGATGGGCTACCCATATGGGCCCCATGTGAGATAAAAATGGGCCAGGTGGGCCAAACACATGTGGGCTGGAGATGGGCATCCCATGTGGGTCCCAGATGGGCCCACGTGGGACATGGGCTATAGATGGGCTACCCATATGGGCCCCATAAGGGATAAAAATGAGCCAGGTGGGCCAAACGCATGTGGGCTGGAGATGGGCGTCCCATGTGGGTCCCATATGCGGTGAACATGGGCCAGATGGGCCCACGTGGGACATGGGCTACAGATGGGCTACCCCATGGGATAAAATATGGGCCCCATATGGGATAAAAATGGGCCAGGTGGGCCAAACGCATGTGGGCTGGAGATGGGCATCCCATGTGGGTCCCATATGGGGTGAACATGGGCCAGATGGGCTCACGTGGGACATGGGCTACAGATGGGCTACCCATATGGGCCCCATATGGGATAAAAATGGGCCAGGTGGGCCAAACGCATGTGGGCTGGAGATGGGCATCCCATGTGGGTCCCATATGGGGTAAACATGGGCAAGATGGGCCCAGTGGGACATGGGCTACAGATGGGCTACCCATATGGGCCCCATATGAGATAAAAATGGGCCAGGTGGGCCAAACGCATGTGGGCTGGAGATGGGCATGGGCTACAGATGGGCTAAAAATGGGTCAGGTGGGCCAAACGCATGTGGGCTAAAGATGGGCATCCCATGTGGGTCCCATATGGGGTGAACATGGGCCAGATGGGCCCACGTGGGACATGGGCTACAGATGGGCTACCCATATGGGCCCCATATGGGAAAAATGGGCCAGGTGGGCCAAACGCATGTGGGCTGGAGATGGGCATCCCATGTGGGTCCCATATGGGGTGAACATGGGCCAGATGGGCCCACGTGGGACATGGGCTACAGATGGGCTACCCATATGGGCCCCATATGGGAAAAATGGGCCAGGTGGGCCAAACGCATGTGGGCTGGAGATGGGCATCCCATGTGGGTCCCATATGGATCACCCATGTAGGCCCCATTTAAGTTACTCCAAGAGCATAAAAGCAAAAAAGGTGACTGTTGTTCATGTGAATTTTGGACTCCAAGTACATCAAGTTCATACATGATGCCATATGGGGTCAATGTAGGCTGGCCCATATGGGTCCCTGATGTGGGGGCCGCGTGGGTCGGGGCCTACGTGGGCTTGCCCATATGGGTCCCATGTGTCACCCACTGCTATTCCCATGTGGGGCCCATATGGAAGAGGTGGGGGGCCATGTGGGCCCCATATGGGAACCATGTGGGCATGTTTGCTGGGATATGGACATTTCCTTTACTACAAAATGTTGGTATCTGACCCGACACCTATCTGGGCTGGATGCGGGCAGCATGTGGGCAAACTGGACATCAACAAGCTGGGCACACCCAGCCGGGGCCCACATGGGGCCCGGCCGCCCACATGGACAAAATTTACTACAAAACTTTGTTAACTGACCCGACACCTAGGTATCTGGGCTGGATGCGGGCAGCATGTGGGCAAACTGGACACCAACACGCTGGGCACACCCAGCCGGGGCCCACATTGGGCCCAGCCGCCCACATGGGCAAAATTTACTACAAAACTTTGTTAACTGACCCGACACCTATCTGGGCTGGATGCGGGCAGCATGTGGGCAGACTGGGCACCAACAAGCTGGGCACACCCATCCGGGGCCCACACGGGCAAAAGTTACTACAAAACTAATTGCTAACTGACCCGACACCTACACCAATCTGCAATAAACATTTCCTTTATTACAAAATTTTGTTAACTGACCCGGCACCTATCTGGGCTGGATGCGGGCAGCATGTGGGCAAACTGGGCACCAACAAGCTGGGCACACCCATCCGGGGCCCGCATGGGGCCCAAATGGGCAAACCTTACTACAAAACTTTGTTAACTGACCCGACACCTATCTGGGCTGGATGCGGGCAGCATGTGGGCAGACTGGGCACCAACAAACTGGGCACACCCATCCGGGGCCCACGTGGGGCCCAAATGGGCAAACCCCAGCCAGCATGCCCATGTGGGCCCCACATGGGCAGTTGATGGGCATGGTGGGCTAGGTGGGCCATGGGCTAGAGATGGGCAAATATGTGGGCTGCATGTGGGCCCCACATGGGCTGCCCACATATTTTTTGGCAGGCATAATGCTTGATAATGAGATTGCTTGCACATGTACGAGGGCATATCCAGGAATTTTGGTGAACACAGGCATTCACGCGGTGTTCCTGTATGGTGGGCTTAACATGGGCACTGCGTGGGCAGCCCATGTAGTGGGTGGGTTGGATGTGGGCAGCCCATTATTTATTTTTTCACTGTCCAATGTGTATGATATTACAAGAAAAAAAGAACTCGCTGTTTAGTCTCATGCCTCCAAAATACACTTCGACGTCGTGAGGAAGTCGCATAGTTGATGTTTGTGATACCAGCTACGGCTGATATTGGACAGTCAATGTTGTGATTGTGTCGTATGATT